GCCTCTGGTGCACCACCTGAACAGAATAATTAGGACAGTCTTTAGCACAGCACTGGAGAACTGATCTACACAAGGTAGAGGTAATTAAGCCATTTCATTCCAGCGTTTTGTACTTGTGGCACATCTAAAAACTGCAGGACAGCGGCCCTTGAGGACTGGAGTTTGACACCTCTGAACTAAGGGGTCACCACAATCCCCTCTGTACTCAACTTTCCTGACTCTGTTGTGTTAAGTGTTGCTTTCCTGCCAACTCCCAAACCCCAACTTATCCAATGGATTGTCAGACAGAAAGTCATGCTTTGTCTCTCCATAAAACATGTCTCCTCTTCAGTCGAAGCATTTTCTTTTTAAGAAGTGACATTGGTTTGTCTTTTTAAATGACTGCATGTAGTTGCATTGCACTTGTGAAGCTTGGATCTCACTGCTCAACCATGGAAACCCACAAATTATACTATTCTTGCACTGCTCTTCAGGTAAAATGAGGTTTTGAGGCTTGAAGGCATTTTGAACTTGTTGCTCAGTAGCCAATGGCTGATTCTATGTGGCTTAGCCTGTCAGGGCTGAGTTATCATTGTTCCCAATGGATTCCAGTTGAGTGTGGCATTTTTAGCTCAAAGAAAATTTTACAACCGGACTTGTTGCACTTATGGCATCCTATCATATTACAAAGCTGGAAATTCACTGAGCCTCTGGGAGCTTTTTGTCAGAGGTTCGTCTTAGGAAACAAAAGACTTTGATCATTAGTTATCAGAGCATGTCAAAAGTTTCTAACAGATAAGCTTTTAAAAAGTAACTTGAGTTGATTAAAATACTTGTAAACTACAGTATGGTTTTCAAGGTGTTGATCAGAATCTCTTCCTGGGTCTGGAGACTTTAAGCTGGGAGTCTTGAGATAATATACAAAAATCAAGGTAAATAATAATAATAAAAAAAACAATCTTTTTGTGTTGTCTTTAAAAATGGTAAAAAAAAAAAAAGTTTTTTCACATGGTAAATTGGTTTGTCTTTTTATCAATTTATACCCTCATTTTGAACCCATCTGTTTCATCAGTTCCTGCTTTCATTTGGTGCTGATTAACAAATCAGTTTGTATCAATGTAGAAGTTTGTTTATTCATTTTCAAGAATTTTTTTTTTTTTTTTGAAATTATGAAGTTAGTCATCAGAATTCTAAAACGTTCACAGCATTACTGTTTCAATTTACTTTAGTTCTGATCCAGAGTTAAACTAGTTGACTTTGGCAAATACAATATATTCAATAAAATAATTTTCTTTTAACCAACTGTTGGTCAAGGATAATTACTAACTAAGACTGTTTTATTTGATACAATAGATTATTTGTATCAAATTGGCAGATTGTCACCCCAAACAATGTTTGAGGTCAAAAGTCTGCCATTGTTGTTTTGTGGGTTTCAAACAAAAAGGTTTTGGACTCTGAATTATAACTAAACTAAAAGCTGATGTGGGCAAAAACCTCTGGCATCACATGGCAAAAATGTCATAAGATATGTTTTGATGCTGTAGTCACATTTTAAAAGCAAAACCAAGAGAAAATATTTCATTACTCCCACAGGAAAATGAACCAACCCCAACAAAACCACACAGTAAAATGAAAAAAGATGTGATATAACTGGTTCGGAAATTAAATAAATTTGTAGGTGAGATTTGATCATTTCTGACTCACCGTCTCCCTAATTAGTCACAGCAGTTATTTATGAGGAAAAAGAAACTGCTACTATTGCTAGGTACATGTTTGGGTGTTTTTTTTTCTTTTCACACTTATATCACAGAAGTAGGTTTGTGCAAAATGGTGTTGGGGTGAAGTAATCCAGAGATATGCGAAAGGACAGTATTTACAGTGGGACAACAAGGACAGATATCTCCAGAAGAAACTCTTGACATTGAAATATAAATCCCCCTTTTACCCAGTTTGTCTTGTTCACATATGTGTGACCTGATTAATAATATGTGTTGAGGAATAAGTGAGATAGTACCGGGCTGGTGTTTGCTGTAGCATCTCTGACGCCTTAACATGTCAATGCATTGTGCAGATACGGAGTAGTTAGAGTACTGAATAATGCTTGAGCTCATCTGACCTGCAAGTAGGGACAGTCACAGTTCACAGACATTTATAGGAGAAGTGACGCAAACAGAACATGTCGTTCTACTTCACCACATAGTTGCCGCCCGTCTGACTCCTCCTCGACAGAGGGAGGCTTTTTAAAAATGCTACCTGGGAGGCATTTTGCTTCCTGTGTTTGGTCAGCACAAACAAAGAAAAGCAGGCAACAATCTCATAACAGGGTAATCTTTTTACTCAACGTTCGTAGCAAACACCTTAAAATGCCTGTGAGACTGCCACTACTGCACATTCAGAGGGTACAACACAATTGATAAAGATGACAATGAAGCTTTTCAAAGGTCCAACACTTAGGTCTATAATAGTATATGTAAAATCAAATGGTCACAATTATTAAGTTCTGAATATGTAATATCTAAATGTCCAATATTGGAGTTTTGGGTGGGTGGGTGAGAAGGAGGGACAGACAGATGGCAATGGTTTTGGTCAAAAATACGGAAATACAAAAATATTTCATCTCCATTTTTTCTCCGTACTTTTCCAGACATGGCTTATTGTACAGGCTGCGAGGCATGCTGCAAAATTGATTTGTGGGAATGACCACAAATTGGGAGAGTTGTTTCAGAGACCAGTGTTCATACCAGAATTTGTGCACAACAGAAGATAAAACAGTTTGTAACCGATCAATCCTAAGAAGTGATGCATGCAATAAACAAAGGAGTTGATTTTCACAAAGAAATAAATTACGCAAATTTATTATCAGCGTGGCAAAAGACGCATTGTGACAGTTTGCAGGTTGGGATGATGACCAAATGTTTTGTATGTACATTAGACTTGATACGTGGAAAATGCCTCTCTTTAAAAAATATTACTGTGAAGAATGCATGTGTAAGACACAATAAATTTGACCAGATTGATTATAATCAGGCTCTTTTGTTGTTGTGTTTATTTATTTGCCTCAGTTATGCAACACAAAATGTCCTACAGGACAAATAAAGCTTGGAGGGGGCTATTAAATAAGGAACTCTGACCAGGTCTGAGCTCTTTTCAGCTAATAAGTAACAGAATAATCTCTGTGTCCAAAGGTCTACAGTAATGGAGGTCAGAAGCTATAATATAATGTGATGTATTTTCAATGTATACAAATAATAAACTGTTTATTCCATTTTCTAAATAGATTTTTATCATTTTTATCAAAAATGCCCTCATCTGTCTAAATTATCACCTAACTGTCACGTAAGTGCATCGTGCCCAGAGCTCAGTCCAGGCCTGGATGAAACATTTTCATGCAGAGGTGTTTTGAAAAAGCTCTGTCTCCATGGCACCACATCTTTCTGCTTTTGTTACTATATTAAGCCTATGAACCCGTTGTGCGCATGCGCCCCGCGTGCCTATCAGAGGCCTCCAGAATAGTCTGGAACTCTCCGGAGGAGGCGTCAAGAATCTCTCAGTCACTCCAGCACCCTCACTGCAGTCGGCTGCGTTCGGATACCGTCTTTCTCAAACCTACCGAATCCGTCCTGATGTGGAGCTTTATATCATTATAAATCCATTAAACCCATGGGAGTACAATTTACTATTTTGGTGGATCGACCAGACACCAAAACGCAAATGTCATCTGTGGTTCTCAGGCTTGGATTACTACGGATACGGGACCGCCAGCCTCATATTGTTCCCCTTGTAAATTTTCTTTTTTTGAGAAGGAACTGGAGTGATATATCAGAAATCCTCTCTTGGAATATGTCTCTGTCTGTCCTCAGCTCTAAATAAAAGAAGTCTTCATACCGACGACAAAATGTGGATTTCATTCAGAACATAAATCACGAAAAGACGACAGGCTTTAAAAACGTGTCGCAAAGACGAGAACGAAACCTGAATGTGTGCTGGGTGTTAAAACAATGTTTGGTGAAACGAGCCAAAGAAAATGTGGATTCATTACTGTGAAAATACGTACAAAGTCCACACCAAAAAAAAAAAAAAAAATCAACAGCCTCCAGGGGCCTAGGTCTTTGTTCTACGCCATTTTGTGAGAGTAACAGTGGTAATGGTTTCGTCAGCCATTTTGCCCTTACGTTTCAATAAAATAGTGAAGTAAATAACGCAGCTAGCAAGCGACGCCGACAACTGTTAAATCCATCAACAAATGATAGTAATAGAGGCAGCAAGTTAGATTAGCTGGCGTCTAGAACTATCATTTAAAAGGCAAACTACGTCTGTAGCCAGCTGAAGTGTCCGTTTACGTCTTTTTATTCAGTTAATATAATGGCTAAACGGACAGGTTACCATGATAGCGAAGGTGAAATGAAGGATGAGTCCACGGTGGGTTTTATGCTCTCAGTCTCATAGGAAGTGTTATTGGCGTGTGTAGTTTTAAACGTTTTCTTTTCCTTTGTTTTACTGAATACTTTTGAGTGCAAACTTTTCCACTCGTGAAAAATAACAGGGGGAGAATAAAAACAATAATGCCTTTTACGTACAAATCTGGTTTATGTTTTTATACAAGCCAAAATACAATTCAGACTAATACTTTAGCACAAAAGGAAAAAAATAACAAAAATATGCAGGGCTCTTTAGTTACAAGGTAACTATATTCCCAGAACTGAGTTTTTTTTTTCAATTAACCACACTTTCAAGTATTATTGTGTCAAATTTCTGACTTTATAATAAAAATTATGTGTCATAGGTAGTGGTGATCTATTGTCACTTCTGCAGAGCAACTGCATTAAATAACATGGGAGCAATTGCATGACAAGATCCAACAGTACATGTCTACATGAACATAGCAAAAATCCGATGTTTACAAATAATGACCTCCTCAGAATAGCCCGTGCTATCTCGGATGCTGCTTCACGTGTGTTTGTGATGTTTGTCGATGAGCTCTTCTTGCGTAGTTTATAAAATCCTCTTCATCCTGTGAGCAGAGACCACATGACAGAACAACAAATGCATGAATAACTTCTGGAGACAGAGTAAGATTCTGATAAATGGGAGTACAAGTACCACCGTTTCATGACAAAGGGTGTTTTATTTAAAACACAAGTCTACACCTAAATCTGCTAATTACCACACCTTCATTGCTCAAAGCATTTGCAGCTGATCATAATGTTGTAGCTTATCAGTATTTAAATGGCCTTGTGACCCCTTATGTCTAAATTTAATAGTCTAGATATTTTAATATCAATATTTAAAGCACAATTTATATTTTAACTTAGCTAGTTACTGAAAGTCATTTGTTCTACTTTTTATAGTCTGAAGAGATTTCACTTCATTTTCTAAATCAGAGGATTAAATAGTTAATTTCTCATGTGTTCTGTTAATATCATGTAGTGTTTTAAAAGCCTAGTTATTACTGCAAGATGATATCTGTGAAAAGAGAAGTAGGGTTGGTTTTTTTGTTGGTTTTTTTACACAAGTTAGAGACTTCTCTGACCTAAATCTGTCGTCGGGCCTCCTAAACTGTTTCCCTCCTGGGATAAAAGTTTGAGAAGTTCTTTTTCTCCCTGGGATTCAGTTTGATAAGCACGTTTGGTATTCTGCCCCAGTTTAGTGGTCTCTGGAGAAACCCACTGACCTGCGAGGATGCTGCATCCAGCAGATCCATGTTTGGGATGAGACAGCTGGCCTCACCGAGGAAACATATTAGGATGTGGAACACATCGGCCCAGCGTCCCACAGTCAGCATCAGGACCATCAAGCCCCCGAGACGCACGACGACTGCATTGAGGACAGCTTGGCTGCTCGGCAGACGATGCTGTTCTTCTGCAGGGTTAAGAGATTTAAAATGGGGAAATAAACAGGAGTGGTTGGGTGTATTCAGCTGCCAAAACATCAAATTGTTTTCATTACTAATTAATGAATTATAAAAGCTTAAGCCCGGGAGTGTATTTCTGCACAAAAGTTTGCGTCATCTCAAACACGGACGGAGCAGTGGCTTCATCGGATACCCTCTAATGGAGAGCTTGAACTGTTTGACAGGATCCTCACCCTGCATGTACACCACCAACAATGTGTAGCAGATAGTGAGCGGCGTCCAGAACCTCAAGGCCTCGGTTGCAGAGAGAAACTGTTGGTTGATGATCGATACCGCTGCCAGCACGGCCACAGAAAAGGCAATGATCATAATCCTGCAAAGCATGGGCTGCAGATAGCAGCCTGATGTGAGCAGGCTGATGCAAATGCCGCAGTAGCGCTGGGAGCTGTGCAGCTTATACAGAGCGACGACATGATGCAGAAGGGCTGCTGACTTTTTTGCCAGATACCAACTGAGGGCTGCTGCCAGGAGAAGGCACAGCCAGCGCTGCGATGCCCCCTCGTGGAGAAAGTGCAAACTGCAGCTGATGGCACAGCCCAAGGAGAACTGGCTTTGCACTAACAGCTGCTGCAGAAACTTCCTGGTTTCCTAGGAGGGGAAGAGAAGATGTGATGGATCAACTATACCACAAAATAGGGAGTGGTATATAGGTGTGAAATTATGAAACACTGAAATAAACTAAGTTAAAGGCATCACTGGTATATTTGTATTTGTTGGGCTATGAGAACTTTATCACAAAATTTTGTGGTACAATTCTGATCACGAATGATAAAAGTCACAATAGTAGCTATTCATTACCTATTTTATAGGTCATTGTATGACTGTGTCTGCAAGGCAGATTGATCAGAGCCCCACAAACACAATTCATACCCACATGTAATGCTCTTCCTTAGGACATGAGACATATAGTGAAGTGTTACTCATATGTTTTGATGCTCTCATTGACAATATGGTGTTTAAACATCATTAACTGGAATTTATAGTGACAAAAATAAAGCAAACTTCTTATCATGACAGACATTTATCATGATAAATGACAAACAATATGATAAATGCCCAAGCCTATATTGGTGTAGCTATTAAGTTAAAAGATATCAAGTTAAACAATTAGGCGACTCAGACATTGCTGCAGTTTTACTTGTACTTCACAAAATGTTTAATTCTGTCTTATAAATACACAAATGTTATTAAAGACATAAAAAAAATGTGGTCACTGTCTTTGAGCTCTAGTTTGCTCTACATATTTTCTGAAATGCAATCTGTGCTTGACGTAAGAGTATATTTTATTGCGATCTCAATTTTATTGAGATTTCACTTAAAAGAAAACCTTATGAAGTTCCAGTTACACTTTCCTATAAATTTAGACAAAGTTGACCAAGTTAGATGAAATTGAAATTCTTGTTGAACTGAAATTCAGTCCTCTATTAAAATGCTTCCTGTTCCATGAGCTTTTGTTCAACATGGATGAGGGAGGTGGACAGATAGATAGAGCTCTTTGAATTGATGTTCGCAGATGAACGTCAATTCATCTGCGACCTGGCATATTTAGAGAGTAAATGTTCACGCTTTAAATGTGCCCAGCTGGGTGAGAGATGCTCTAAAAGCCTCTGCCACATTGTGGTTCTGCAAAAGAGTGGCCCATGAGGGCTGAATATAAAATAAAATGTGCAACGCAGATTTCAGATTTTTGTTTGTAAAAAAAAAAACCTGTAACTAATTTACATGTTAGCAGTTATGAACAACTTTGTGTTGGTCTATCTCATAAAAAATTGACAAAATACATTCCACCTGTCCACAAAAAAAAAGAAAGTAGAAAAGAGGTAATGTTTCTTTTTTCTTTAAAACATGACAAGAAGTAATGAGAAAGACATAAAACTATAGCGCATAACTGCAGAAGTCAGCCTCTGTGAACCTAACTTTCTGCTCCAACATGTCTGATTTAAAGGGATTAAAACCTGGTTGTCATCAAACCCTGGTTTGGGTAGCAGGGAAGCGTGTAGAACACGGAGCAAAAATCAGAGCTGGAAAACCTGACATGACGGTTTGGACCGCGCCAAAGGCTCCCAAAACATCGTGTCAAACAAAGCTGACAAACTGTGGATCTTTGCGGACCAAAGAATCCAGCTTTGACAGGAGTCACTTGAGGCTTTGACAGTACTGCTGATACCTTACCGGTCCAGCTGTAAGCAGTCCAGAGACGGCTCGCAGGCAGAATTCCAGAACCACCAGTGAGGCCACACGGGACCCCACAGTGGCCAGTATCCCAGTCACAAAGAGAAACTGGAGCACTCCAAAAAGTCCATGTTTAGCTCTCATTGGGTTACTGCTTGACTTCCCACTTGATGTGCCTTCATTCATTTTTTCTTTCCAGCTGCATATATAAAGGACAAAGATAATCTGTAGAAATATCAACATGGGACTGGAAAACTCTTGCATACATATCAGACAATTTCTTTACCTCTCCTCTATCAACAGATGTACTCTGAAGAGGGAGCACAGCACAGAAATCCCACTTGCCCCCACCAGCCCTGCAAGTCACCAACAATGTCTTTAAACAACAAATGTTGGTAAGCAGATATAGAGACATTTTAATAATGTGTGAGCAAAAAACAAAAGTTGAACGCCTTAGAATTTGCTACATCAAGTAGAAAACTAAAAGTATTTTACATGAAGAACATCATTCTGACAGCTAAATATGATTTGGGGATTTTTTTTTAGTTCAAAACCTGGATGGCTTGTGTCGTGATAACATATGGAAAGCCACCATTCTGGTATGCAGCAGGTTAATAGACCAAAGTGCATGAACCATTTAATTAAATTTATTTATATTGTACCAATTCAGAACAAATGCTACCAGCGAGTATGTCTCTGAATGGCTTAAAAAAGGTTTTAGAGGTTTTAGAGTGGTCTAGTTAAAGTTTGTACGGTACTAGCATCTTGTTGAGATGCTGTCACACTACCTCAGTCACCACTCAGATCAAAACAACCGTCTAAAGAGAAATAGATTCAATTTCCTCCACATGTATGTGAAAGACTTATTCTCAGTTTTCAATTCTTGATGACAATTATTGCTCCATAACCCGTTATTAGGTTTTAGGGAGCAACTACTTTTTCACATAGGTCCATATATATTTCCTATTAACTAATTAAACCTCCATATTAAAGTTAATTGTATTCACTCAGGTCTATCCAACTTTAAGGATCTGAACATTTTTGGTGTGATTAAAAACAAAATCAGAAGGAACCTGGAAAGGACAAATACAGCACTGCGCCTGTAGCCTGTTGCTTATTGACACTATCTAACAACCCATCTTCATCCTGCTCTGTTGCTGACGGAAAAATAAAACATTTGTGGATCACTGGGCTCTTAAAAGTACAGAAAAATCTTTTGATAAATCCTATTAAGATGTCAATAAATTTAACAGAATTCTCCAGTGGAAGCTCATAGGATGACAAAATCGACTTCTGCTAATGTCACAAATGACATTTTTGAACATCAATCTTAAAGTAGAACGTAGAAAAGACATCAAAGATATCTAAAATTAAACACATCTAAAATTAAACACGTAAAATTACTAAACAAAAATGTAAGATCATCTCAATAATGTGTGCGTTTGAAAAGAAAAGGGCTTATTTCAATAAGTCTCAAAAAGTTCAATTTTCCAGTTTAACACTAATGGGCCCGTCTGATATTTGTTGGACATATCAAGAATTCAATTCTTCCCAGATAAATCAACATTCTGGATATTTTGAAAGCCAAATGTTTGTATATTGATTTCTTTTCTTGGTTGTTTTTACTTTGATAATCAGCTAATCACTTTATGACAAACTGCCTTGCCATATAATAACAGAGTGGACATATTTTTGTCTGTCACTGACAGCAACAGTCAGTCTATAATACTGTCTCCAAAGTACACATATTTATGACATTTCACACTTAATTCAAAGAATTTTGCACCCTTGTTTCTTGAGTTCCTGTTAATGGCCAAACTACAGGTAATCTGCTGCTCCAACCTTCATTTATACAGACTACTGACAGCCTGTCAAATACTCTTTCATTCCAAAACATAAAAACAAAATCAATGAACGAGGAGCTTACCTTGAAGTAAACCAATCAGAGGGTTTGTGTCCAGTATCAGCCATCCTGGTAGGAGGTAAGAAGTCGGCAAAAAGGAGGCGAGAAAGGAAAACATTTTTTTAAAGTCTCACAGTAATACATGGAGGATACACTGAATAAATCATTGCACACTCTTGACTCATGTATTCTGGGCCTCAGATCGGATTTTTTTTTTAAAAGTGTTGGAGTTGCTGCTCTTTATTTCCTGTTGCCTCGGCGTTGAGCTTTGCTCAACCCAAACCCGGTTCTGTGTCTCGTACCAAAGGTCATCTGAGGGCTGCTGGAGCTGTTTGAGTCAGAACAAGATAATAGAGGTTATTGCACCAGTTCATGGGAAAGATATTTACTTCTCATTAATTGTTCAGACAAGGTTTTATTAAATATTGTATTATAACCGAAAAGAGAGATGTAACTTCTACCATGAATATAGACTAGCAAAAAATAACCTACAAATTGCAGTGAAATACTAGTACTTCCTGTGGTCGCCGGAAGTGAGACCAATAATCACTTCCTCAGTGAGCCTCCCAGGAATAAGGTGAAAAAATGCCCGGGGTTACAATAAAAACAACAGAAAGTGGAATACCAGGAGCACAGATAGAGATCAGACAGTTTCAGGGATACAGTTAAAGGATTTTAGGGCTTCAAGAGTCTGTACAGCTTTGGGATTGGTGGAGGTCTGTATAGATAGTGTTGTAATTCAGATAAGAACTTTTTGCCAGAAAATGTACATTTAAGGATATGAAATTTAATTAGAATTATCAACATATCAGATAAAATTGATTCTCATCAGCAGGACAGACATTGCAGAAACCAAAACATGCATTTGCATAAAACTGAAAAACTATTGAGGATATGAGACTGAACATAATAAACAAAGTCTTTCCAGAAAGAGACGGTGAAGGGTCACCTCCAGAATAAGTGGACCGTTGTCTTGTTGTCCAAATGACAGAAAGAGCAGCTGCGGTCTGTAACCTTGTGCAGGTTTTGTTTTGCAGGGTAGCACCGGTGGAGACGTTTGAAGCACACATCACGAGGTTTGTTCGCAATGAAGTATTTGGAAAATAGAGTCCAAACCATTTTTCATTTGATATCAGAAACAAACTGTCTCTAGTACAGTGTGGTAGCAACGTCCTTCTGAATGAAGGATCTTATATTCTTGTTTCTAGTGGAGGGTTTAGAGCAGAAACTAATTTTACCCACAGCCGATTCAAAAACAGAACAATGTATACGTTCAGCCCTGTCCTCCCCAGAATGAAGATGGCTCTTAATGAGCATGAGAACTTCTTTAGGAACGGCGTCCATAACGATGGCAAATTCCCTGGGAGGAAACTGGGATACAGAAGGAGGATAAAAACTCAGAGTAAGATTTTAGGTACCCATCAGAGTTAAGTGATTTTTTTTTACAAAAATAATATTATTATTATGAAACCGGTTAGGGAGAAACAGAGATTGATTTTTGTCAAGAATATTCCGGTTATTCCAGATGAGAAATATGTGAGTTTATGATTTAGAGACCAAGCAAGAAGCATCTGCTTGTGATAATTGGCTAATTTTTAGGAGAAGTTTTTCTATAATAATTAGATGTAAGTAAAAATGAAAGGCCACCAAGTGTAGAGAAAATATAATTAGAAATAAAATTCTACAAAGAGTCAGGGTTCAGTAAAATAAATTCTGATCCAATTGATTTTAACATTGGATCAGAATTAACTTTCAATTAATATAATACAATTATGTGGAACCTGCTGACAAAAAAATCTGTGAAGTCAATGATTTGTTTTTTTGCAATTATTTTAAAATATATTTTTGTACTTGAATACTATTTTTTTCACCAGGGTTTGCAACAGCATAAATGAAAATAAAAGCATTTGATTGAAGCTCTGCATTTGACATATTTTATAATTTGTTTGGTAAAATACACTCTTATTTTGGCAAAATTTAAATGACCATTTCAAGCAATGAATTCCAGTTTTGTAAAAGTTGTCAGACTATAAGCACAATAAACTGTTAGAGATCCAGATACTCACTTCACATTTGGAAAAATAGATTAATTATTCCACAGAAATTAAGAATTAGGTCAGAACATCCACAGCTACACATTGCTCTAAGTCATTTAAAACTTTTTTAAATAATGTAACTGCATTGAGCTAATTTTCCATCTGGGTTTTTTTAATAGGCTATATACATTTCTTTGTAGAATGTAGATGTGAATGTAAACTGATTGCTGGAGATGAGGTACAGCAATCTGATGCTACCAAATACAGAGGACATCAGAAACTGTATGGTTATTGTTACTCCTGCTTTGTTTTTATATTTATAACGTTGTTATAACACACTGTAGACAGGCCTATGTAAAGTGTATTTCATAGACTCTAACAAATAGTAGGCCTATGTTAGTCTCTTTTCCTTCTAAATTTATAACACTGATCATTTCCCCTGTCGCGTCTAAAAGTGCATTGATAAAATGCATAGTGAAGGAATCAGTCCATTATTGATCAATAATTATCGGGCGATGTGGGAGAAAGTAAGAAAAGAAGTTTATTTGCGTGACGTGACAGAACCCATTCAAACTAACTGAATGCTGAGACGTTTGCAGCTGCGTGACACGTCACCGCGTTCAGTGGCTGTCTTAACTCTCTTCCTCTCTACCGCGTTGGTTCTTCGGTTCTTCGGACTGTCGAGCCTACATTAGCACTGCGCATGCTCAGAGCGATACACGCTCAGACAGCGATCGTGACGCAGAGTTTAGAAAATCTGACAGGTAGCACAGATCGTCAGAGCCGGTTGTCATTATGACGCAATAAATGTTGGTGACGTAGAATGCTGAATAGTTTGCTCCTCTCATTTGAAACAGAGCGACCGCTTTAAGAAGACACGCTTAAATCGTAGGAAAAATCGATAGTTTTACGGTGAGAATGAAAAATCACTTTTGTGAGAATTTTGAAGAGCTTCTTCAACACAGGTGTTTAAAATTTACTCAGGAAATCCAACGACTGAGAGAAGCTGTGTACAATCTGGAACTTCAGGCAGAAATCAGAGAAGACGAACACCAAAGTGAAACAGAACAACTTTCACACACAATAGCTGAACAGAAACACAAAATATCAACATTGAAAATGTTGAATAATCAGATGATGGATACAGAGGAAGAAAGAGTAAAAAATCAATCCTTTTTGACACAAGAGAATAATGGATTGAAAGCAGAGATCACTAGACTGAAGTCAAAGATATCAGCACTGACGGAAGACGCTACAATTTCAAGAAACACACAAGACAGTTCTGCCGAAAAAATTTTGAACTTGGAGGAGGAAAACAGAAAATTTATGGCTCAGATAGTCCAAAATGAGCGAATGATTGGAGAGATGTATGAGCTGACAGAGTCTCTGAGAGACTCAAATAGGGACTTGAAAGTGCAGCTGGAGTTAAAGCAAGAGGAGCAAGTGCTGCTACAAAAATGTGCAAAAAGCATCAAGGACGAGTTTGATGCTGCTGGAGAAAATATAACAACAAACTTTGGAGTTCAAACACAACAGCGACCTAAAACCTTTACAAAATCGACTCAAACTGAAAATTTGAGCAATGACTATACGCAGCCAAAATTATTTTTCCAAAAATCTACACAAACAGAACATTCAACATCAGAATCTAAACAACATACAAAGGAAATATCGACACAAACGAAACATTCGACATCAGAATCTAAACGACATACAAAAGAAATATCAACACAGACAGAAGCTGTGACTTATAAACCAAAGCAGCTTCAAACTTCATCCAAAACATTACCAGAAACAGAAATTTTAAAAAGGAAATGTGGCCAAGTAAAGAATTCAACGACAACTCAAGCTAAAACTTTCGGAACGGACACATCAATGCAGAGTGAAACGTCGACTGCTGACTGTAAGAGTTGGAGGAGTATGTGTGTGGAAGGGATTTTATTTGCAGGTAAATATACGATCGTAGGATTTCTTCAAGCAGCAATTACGTCACAGATTTATGGCATGGCAAATTATTATTTTGAACAAACAGAAATTCCTTTCTAAGGAATAATTTGTAAAATTGTACTGGGGAAATTCAACATTAAGTGAGACCTAAATGGATATTATTGACTTCAAGGGGATTCTGGTTCATCATCCGGTATGTTGACCAGACGGGACATTGTGTGTCATTGGATATAATTTGGTGATGAACTTCTCAATTCCACCAAGCTGAGCCTGAGGACCTTGAGTAGAGCTTTCCAATTTGTGGTGCAGATGTCACTAAGGTGGGTAAAAAGTACCTCAGAGAAAGGCCCTGTGGGTGGATGAGATTTTCCTGGAGTTCCTTAAAGTTCTTGATGTTGTGGGGGTGTGTTGGTTATACAACTTTGCAATATTGTCTGAGCAAGAGGGACAGTTCCCCTGGATTGACAGACCAGGGTGCTGGTCCCCCTATTCAAAAAGGGGGACCACAGAACGTGTTCCAACTACTGGGGGATCACACTCTGAAGCCACCCTGGTAAGGTCTTTTCATGGGTTCTGGAATGGAGGGTTCATTGGACAGTCAGACCTTGGAATCAGGAAGAGCAGTGTTATTTTCGTCCTGGTCGTGGAACATTGGACTAGAGGGAATCCGTTTTGGTGGCCTTCATTAACAGTGATCTCCAGCTACGTTCCGGGTGAGAGGAGGGGTCACCCTGGACAGGTCACCAGCCTGTCACAGGGCAACACAGAGACAGACAAGACAAACAACCATGCACACACACACACACACACACACACACACACACACACACACACACACACACACACACACACACACACACACACACACACACACACACACACACACACACACACACGCCTAGGAGAGATCAATTAACCTGACAGTCATGTGTTTGGACTGAGGAAGGTAGCCGGAGTACCCGGAGAGAACCTGCGCGTACACAGGGAGAAAGAACATAAAGACCCCGGGCCAGGAATCAAACCCAGGACCTTCTTGCTACAAGGCAACAGTGCTACCAACTGTGCCACTGTGCAGCCCTCCCAAATGCTCATTTAAATAATTATTCTGTTTAAATGCTTTTGTTGCATTTCTAGGTGAAACACATAAAATATCCATCACTAAACCCCCCTTATTATTCTTATTATTCTTTAAATGCAGCAGATTTGCTGGATGTCATATTTTCAGACTCACCATCCATATTTTCCTCTGTCTTGAATATCACATGAATTCCTCAGGGACATTTTTTTATAGTTGAAATTAAGAATCAACTATGACCTGAGAAAATCTTTTGTGGTCCTGATTTAATAATTCAATGCTGAATATGACAAATTTCACATATAAATATTCCATCCATCCATCCATCCATCCATCCATCCATCCATCCATCCATCCATCCATCCATCCATCCATCCATCCATCCATCCATCCATCCATCCATCCATCCATCCATCCATCCATCATCATCCATCCATCATCCATCATCCATCCATCCATCCATCCATCCATCCATCCATCCATCCATCATCCATCCATCCATTGTCTTCTGGTAATCCAGGGTCAGGTCGCGGGGGTCGCAGCTTCAGAAGGGAGGCCCAGACGTCCCTCCCCAGCCACTTGTTCCAGCTCCTCAGTGGGAATCCCACGGCGTTCCCAGACCAGCCAGGAGACATAGTCTCTCCAGTGTGTCCTGTAACTTTCCTGGGGCCTCCTCCTGGTGGGATGTGCCCACAACACCTCACCAGGGAGGCGTACAGGAGCCAAGCCACCTCAAATGGCTCCTCTCGATGTGGAGGAGCACCGGCTTTACTCTGAGTCCGTCCCGGATGACTGAGCTTCTCACCCTATTTCTGAGGGAGAGCCCAGACACCTCATGGAGAAAACCCATTTCAGCCGCTTGTATCCATGATCTCGATCTTTCGGTCATGACCCAAAGCTCATGACCATAGATGAGGGTAGGAACGTAAATCAACTGGTAAATTGAGAGCTTTGCTTTTTGGCTCAGCTCTCTCTTCACTACGAAGCGGGCGCTGTATGGCAGCGCCCGCTTCATGGCAGATGTTGCACCAATCCCCCTGTCGATCTCTCGCTCCCTTCTTCCCCCATTTGTGAAGAAGATCCCGAGATACTTAAACTCCTCCACTTGGGGCAGAACACTCCTCTCGACCCTTTTCCAGCTCAAGACCATGACCTTGGACTTGGAGGCACTGATCCTCGTCCTGGCCGCTTCACAGTCGGCGGTGAACCTCTCCAGTGAGAGCTGCAGATCACTTCCTGATGGGGCCAATCGGACCACATCATCCGCAAAAGCAAAATCAACCAAGAATGCTGATTTTCACCCAACCACAAACTTAGTTACTGGTAAAGAAATTGAAAAGTATTCAATATATTAATTAAATGAATTCCACTTTCAAAACAAATTTTATAACACAAGCTGAGCCTCTTGTTTTATACAAACACACTAAATTAGATAAAATAATAGAAAGCTCAACATTTGACTCTTCCTGTGACTGAAGGATCTCTTGGCATCATATGTCATGTGTCAAGGTCTTCTGAAAAATGAGTAAATTTGTTTCCATCCAGCCTGGCTGGTGTCTTTGTTCCCTTTAAAATAAAAGAACTGAACATTGTGAAGGACGTTTGACTTACTCACACATCACCTGACAGCACATCTGTGAGCTCCCCTCTGCTTCAGGAATCTCGAGGTCTTGGTGCGTCAGAAAAATTGATTCATTCTTTTCCTGATTTTCTGTGAAACAAGCTTTTATCGGAAAGTTGGTGGATGGGAAAGTAGAGAACGACACGCTTGAACCGGGTCCAGTTAATTTAGCCTCTTTACACTGCATGAGCTGCACATCGACGCCTTTTAGTGATATAAAATATTCCTTTAAGACCTTTGTGTGTAGCATGAGCATTTATTTCATTTAGTTAAGAAAGTTCAACAAGCAGGTAAAAACACCAGCCGGTATGCTGGCCAGTCAGCACAGTAACACCACGGCCATAAAACTGAAGAGTACGATGTGCAACGCAGCAGTGATGTAGTTTCATGTCCTTCAAGTCACTGGGGATGAAAATAAAACCTGTTTTTATTGTTGCTCTTTTGTCGGTTTATACAATTTAGCAACTCGACACAAGTACTGTCACCTGATCCAAACCTCAGCATCCAGTAATGTTTTTCCATGGATATTTCCAACTGTTTTCATTGAAGATTTTTCAAGTTGATGAAAATCAAATCAAATGTAATGAGCTGAAGGCCTAGTTTTTATAATCGGCAGATAATAGCCCAACGAGTGCAAAGTGTCCCCACAGAATAATGTGCAATTCTTTTAGTTATAAATGATCAATTGTGTCCATATTGAGAATAAACAAATAATGATATTGAGGGGGTGTGTGGCAGGGGGCTAAAGCTGAAGGGATAAAATACTCTGGGGTGAACTTAAGCTGAGGGTAAAATATGAAACTGCATCATTTAATCTAAGTTTCCATCCAAGCCTTGAGACAGAGCTGTGTCTATTTTTACCAAGATCAGTTGTTTATTTTTAGCTGCACCTCTCCCAAATGTTCATAGTGTGAGGGTTTGGCCTAGAGATTATAGTGGTACTTCAATATTTATGTTCAAAAGTACTTTACGAGATGTGTTGGGGAAGCAAATGAAAACGGGAAACTATAAATGTGTCATTTAACCTGCAGACATTGGTACTATTCTTTTTTTTCCCATGGTGATCCATTTCTGGACCTGTGGTGGAATTTGTTAATCTGGGATTGTTAATCTGAGACTCTTGTCTCCCTTCAACCCTAAACAGGATTAAGCAGGTGTAGAAAATGATGTGCAGGATTTAAAGTGTGTAAACCATGGAACAGATAAGAGAAACTGTGAGGGTATGGAGACATTTTAGTGAATTACAATAAACACATTAGGCAAAATATTTGCCTCACCTTCAAATTGGTGTCAAACAATTGTGCAGCAGAACTTTTCATTTGTGCTGCTATCATTTTAAAGATACTAATAAATGTTTCCTGAGATCATCAAAGATTAACAAGATGCATGCTCCTAAAATAATAAAGAAGTCACTTCAGTCTAGTAAAACTGACTGAGGGACAGACTTACGATATGCAGGAATGTTCATTCTCTGAATTGTTTTGGAAAATTAAAGATGAGTTCCACTAAGTTTCCTGTTGTTCATGTGGTTTGATCTCATCCAACAGCTTGGTGACCAATCTGTCCAAGAACATTGCCATAAAAAAAACGCAAAGCTTTTTTTATTGTAAATCATTTCAGAACAATGGCATTTTAACGCATCATAATTTGGCAACACATAATACATAGGCACTTCTTGAAGCCAGCTAATGTAAGTTCTGGTTTTGACAGGTCAGTTATAATAAATTCATGGTGTAATTTTTTTATGGACCACAGGTAGTTAAAAACTGTTCATTAAACAGTCAAACAGGACCAAACAGCACTTTCATAAAATAAACAATGAACACATCTTGAATAGTATCAATGATTCTCTCTGGAGTTACAACTTCACACAGAAAATCCAAGCAGCATATTTCATCTATGATTCCTCCCAGTGTTTCAATCTGACTCACAATGCCAGACGCATCAAAAGGAAAGCACCTCAGATGTTTCCATGAGGTCTATCTCACATTTCTACGTTTTCAGATGAACTCATCTTGCACCAGCAGGCTGTGATAAATATTCTGCTTATGATGTGCAGCTGTCACCACGAGCTTTTCACAGCGTGATGTGTCGTCTCTCGCTACGTTTTCTGGGCTCTTTCCTCCACGTACAGCTGCATCTGTGACAGCCAAACAAACAAATATGAAGAGCAGTAAACAGAGAAGCTTAAACACATGACATGAAAGACACTTTGGCAAACAGCTTCACAGGAAATGTTTGACACGTTTTAACATCACAGTTGTTTTGTCTTCCAGCTTACCTTCACTATGTCGGACGTCATGGACTTCAGTGGAATGAGTCTCGGCTCCTTCATGTGAACTTCCTGCTCGTCTGCGACGATCCATGGAAAATCCTGAAGATGTAAATGTGCACAAGTGACTGAACCCGTGAAAATGGTTGTTTTGTGTTTACATTTTATAGCAAAGTTAACCTTTTCACATTTTGTCACATGTGACAAAATTGGACTTGGAGGCACTGATCCTCAAGCTCAAATGTCCAAATTTGTTTTCAAGCTAAGGTCAAAGGTCAGGAACAATTAGGGTTGAACAAATGTCTATTTTGTTACAATT